GGGGTAAAACTGACGGGCCATAAATATAATTTAGGTAAGAATGGTAACCACATTTATGATGGATTAGTGTCCTGCACCTGGCATGTTGACGATCTGACTCACAAATTCTGAGAAATGGTGGAGACGCCTGGACGGGTCGTACGAATTTAGACCTGCCTGGCCATTTGTCACATGTGCGTAATAGTCTTCTGTCCCGTCTCTTTAGTCTTTGGTCAGAGTGGATACAGAACAAAGCATGTGGTAGTCTAGTTTGCCTTATCTCAAACACAATTCATTGCGGGCCTCAGAATTTTCGGCACAACAAGACATTGTTTTGCAGAATGAACAGTATGGCGCCGGGCATTAAACGCGAGGTCAATCGCGAGAATCGTGAATTTCAAGACGTGTGGACTAACAAGTACTGTTTTGTGCAACAGAACAACAGCATTGCCAAAAGAATTCAACCTGAAGCGACATCATGAAAGCCAACACAAGGATTTCCTTCTGCAAGGTATGAAACGCGAACGGAAAATCGAATCGTTACGACGATCACTAATCAGCCAACAAAATGTGTTCAAGAAACAATCTGGAGAATTGGATGCAGCTGTTGAAGCCAGCCTAGAAATATCTGCTTTAATAGCCAAGAATGGGAAATCTTTCACAGATGGCAATATGATAAAAAAGTGTCTTATCATTGCAAGTGAGAAGATGTGTCCTGAGAAGACAAAGTGTTTTCAAACAATCAGTCTTAACCGCATGACAATACAACTGAGAATTTCGAAAATTGCATCAGACATTTCTGGCCAACTTAATATTTTAGTTGCAAACTGTGCTTATTTTTCTTTGGCTGTGGACGAATCCACTGACATATCATCAATAACACAAGTGATTATGTTTATTAGAAGTGTTTCACTAGATTTTATTGTGAATGAAGAATTTCTTGGCATGGCATCACTTTCTGGACATACAACTGGTGCTGACTTACTTACTGGTTTATTGAGCGTTTGCAACAAATTAGCACTGGACTTTGACAAGCTATCCAGCATTGCCACTGATGGAGCACCATCTATGGTTGGATGTGAGAATGGCATGGTCACCTTGCTGAAAAACCACCTTGGGGACAGGCAAAAGGGGTTAGTCCAGTATCATTGCATAATTCACCAACAGCAACTTTGTGCAAAGAAGCTGGGATTTGAACGTCTGCTGAAAGATGTCTATGATACTCTGAACTTAATCCGCCGTCATGGACTCAACCATCGACTCTTCACATCATTTCTTGAAGAAATAGATGCTGATTATGCTGACCTGCCCACGTATACTGAAGTTCGTTGGCTGAGCAAGGCAACAGTCTTCAAGAGATTTGTGGAGCTATTGGGGCCTATTATCACTTTCCTCAAAGAACGGGGGAACACTACAAGGAATTTGGAGGGACAAAGATGGCAGTGTGATTTAGCTTTCCTTGCTGACATTACTGCTTATCTAAACGACCTTAATTTGAGATTGCAGGGAAAGATGCAACTTGTTTCTCAGTTGACAAGTAACATCAATGCATTTATGACCAAACTATCACTTTTCAAGTCCCACATGCAATCAGAGAACTTTACACACTTTCCACATTGCAAGGCCATGAAAGAGAAATACCCACATATGAAGATGGATTACTCTGACCAAGTTAACACCCTCCTTACATCATTCAATGAGAGGTTTGGTGAATTCCAGAAATACAAGATCTACCTGCAACTTTTTTCAACTCCATTTGATGTGAAAGTGGAAGATGCCCCTCCAAATGTCCAACTTGAGTTGATAGACATCCAGTGCAGTGATAAATTGAAATCACAGTTCAAAAATTCTAATCTCCTCACATTCTACAAAGAACTGTCAGATACACCATTTCCAAAACTGAAAGACAATGCTCGATTTTGTGCAAGCATGTTTGGCAGTACCTATGTATGCGAACAAGCGTTTTCGCTTATGAATTTAAACAAGTGCAAAACACGGAACAGGTTAACCAATGAGAATTTGGAAAATCTGCTGGTTGTTTCAACATCTGCCATTACACCAGACATCAAGAAGATTGCGGCCAGCATCCAATCTCAGCCATTGCATTAATCGCTTGGAGGTCCGGCCCCCAGTCAGTAAACTTAATCCTAATTTGGCCCTTCTTCACAAAAGGTTGTGCATCCCTGTATATTGTATATTTATTGTACATAAATAAAGAAACAGCATGTTGTTACTGGATCAATACAGTTTGTTCAAGTAAACTTGGATCTGTTTTTGGATATAAAGTTATTTATGATGTTGTCAACACTGTTCTAAAAGATTCTACTCTGGAGCATCCTATTACTGTAGTGTCAAAGTTAGAGATTGAACACATCATTCAATTGAAAAACCTTTTCGACCATTTCGCATACAATCCCATAAAATATGGTAGATTTATTCTTTCAATATTTTGCACAGTCTGAATACTTCCTTCTTACTGAGGACACTGAGTCATCCTCTGGAAACATAAAATGTGTGAATCAGGAAATTAAAAGCAAATTAATTAACGCATTCATTTCTGCACGATTTAAGTTACAGAAAATTTTGTTTGAACCTCGCAGGGTTCAATCATTCCTACAAAGTTTGAGGGCACTCAGGGGAAATGATGAAAAGCTGTATGTTCATTTTGCATTAAGTACATCTGGTTTGTATAATCCACAGTTTCTGCCAGCCAATCATTTCATCTTACAAAGTGATTATTAATCATAAAACAATAAATGTTATTTTTCCAATTCTTTGTAATTTTTCGAAAACAATAAGAGAAATAAATGTAGTAATTAATTTTTTTTTATTTATTTCATATTTGCAGACTAAAAAATTACAGGTCACAAGAAGGTGTCAATTAACTACTACAGCCCATGGAAAAACTAAAATTTTTTCTTGGTCTCTCCAAATATTTGAATCTCTCGGTTAATGCCAGAATCATGCTGAGAGTCAACTTATGGGTGCAAGGAGATTTTGTCAATGTTTCACTAGGAACTATACACTACATAATATATGCTCCTAATGCTCACCCTCCAGCTCTTCCTCTGTTTATTTTAGTGGAATTCGATAGGTATCAGGGATCTTTCATTTATTGTAATCTGTTTCCAATAATCCCCACAACATGCTCTTTGAATGATAGCAGTATGTTGCGATCTCGTAGACAAACTGTCTATGAGATCGCAACATATTATATATAACATATAAGCATATGCCCCTTACCTTAACATACTCGATGACTATACACAAATCACAGGAATTAACTCTTCCAAAAATCAAAAAGATATAGGTAAAAAAGAGATAACTATCAGTCTTACCTATGTTGCATTCAGTTGAGTGAAAAAAATAACTGACATAGTATTTTTAAACAGTTACAATAAAGATTGACTTGCAATAATAATATTGCAAGTCAAAAATTTGCATATTGCAAATTTACATATTGCAACATCTTTATATTATTTTGTATCAAAAGTCAGTGCAACAATACTGCAAAAAGTTAATAAGTGAGAAGTCTATCAACCTTTTACAAAAAATGTAATGATTTATATTTATTTTTGCAGCCTTGAAATGGAGAATAAAAAAAAAATAAAGCAAGATTGAATGATAAAGGAAGTGGAATAGTAGTAGCCGGCCCTTTCAAGACATACGAACCATGCTGTACGGAATTATCGCTGAAACAATAGATCATTGTGCATACTGTGTAATGAAACGGTAGTGTAGTGCATAAGCACTATTGTATAGTTGTTTCCGTTATTTATGTGTGTATATATATATATATATAGGGTTTTATTGTAAAATTTCGTTTTCTTCCCTGATATCGGATTGCGACGGGTAGAACCCGTCGCCATTGCTGATTGGTCAGCGACTGACATCACGTCACACTCAATGGCGGGGGATATAAATATTTGGACTCCCGTCCAGAAAGGAACTTTTTCGTTTTTCCTTCGGCCCTGACTGATTGTAAGATAAGAATAGACTATGTGGTGCAAGGACAAAGAAGAAAGAAAACGACACGTGTGGACTTTCAATTAAAGAGTGAACGGAATCCGAATCCATCGTTGAGGATACACCAATGGTCCAAGAAATAAGTAGAAATACTAATACAGGAAACAACAAGGAACACCCCAAGACTATTATTTTTTTGGTACGTGAATACTGTGTTCTTAATTTTTAATAAAATTCTTCGATCCTTCTCCCTGGAAGTTCTAATGTATTTAAGTTCCTCTCATGTTGTTAGAATAGATTAAATTTTGTCTTTATGTATTCATGATTAAACTTTATTGTTTAAATTATACCACAATTGTAAAGTCCTTAATCAATGTGTCTGTGCCTTTACCCGACAACCTCGCCTAACAGACTTAGGTCTATTGGGGCTTAACAGTAGTAAGCAGAACGTGGAATGTAAAGAGACATTTTGAAACAAATCATAGTCAGCTCTTGAAAAGAAGTATCGATGAAAGGAAGGAATACATTTCTAGGCAGCTACACCTCTATAGAAGTCAATCAAATTCCATCACTAAATTTGTAAAATGCTCTATAAATTTAACCACTCAGCAGTGAGCGACAACTATAGTCGTCAAGGGCAATCATGTGGCAGTGGTGAGAGACGACTATAGTCGTCAAATTCTTTTGAGGGGTATCACCGAAAACTAGCCTAAAACTACCGCGAAAAAAAATTCATATTAAAAATGAATTATATAATGATAAAAAAAAATTTTTCATTTAGTCATAACTGTTTACAAAATCTGTTTTTAAAATAGTAATGAGAAATGACGTGTGGAAAAATACTTTGAAAATTTCGCACATTTATAGTCTACTACTAAGAGGTAGGATCATACCTGACTAGTCCACTGTTGAGCTACGGAATGAACAATACAGTAACTGCTGATGTTAACCTTTCAGGTTAGTTACCTAACCTAACTGACCTGAAAGGTTAACATCAGCAAGTTACTGTATTGCTCACTCCATAGCTCAGCACGGAAAAGCTCTCAGTGATAGAGAATTTATTAAAGAAACATTTTTAAGATGTGCACCAGCTCTATTTCACGATATGAAAAATAATGATGATATTATTAAAACAATTTCTGAGTTACCACTAAGTAAAAATACTATCAAAGACCAAATAATGGATCTTAACAAAAACGTACATCATCAATTAAAAAAAGACATAAATAGTTGTAAATATTTTTCGATCTCTCTTGATGAAACTACTGATGTCACATCAAATGCTCGGTTGGCTATTATTGCTAAATATTCTGATGGTCTCACAACGAGAGAAGAGTTGATAAAGTTAGAATCAGTGCCAATAAGTACATCAGGAAACGAAATATGTAAGATTGTTATAAAAACATTTAATAACTTAAATATTGATATCTCTAAAATTGTGTCAGTTACGACAGATGGGACAGCAAATATGGTGGGAAAAAATGTAAAATTCGTGAAATTGTTTATGGAAGCTATAAAACATCCACTTATACCTTTTCATTGCATTATCCATCAGGTGTTGTGTGCCAAATCGGGATTTTCAGAATTGAATGATTTAATGTCAGTTGTAATAAAAATTGTGAATTTTATAGCTGCTAGACCCCTTCACAAACGAGAATTTTCTGCACTTTTACAGGAAGTTGATTCATCCTACAGTGGACTACTGATGTTCAATAATGTGAGATGGCTGAGTCAAGGTAAAGTACTTGAGCAATTTGTGGAATGCTTTGAAGAAATTGAAGTATTTATTAAGAATAAGGATGTGGCAAACTCTTTTCAGATCAATTATCATAAGTGGGTCAGCAATTTAATGTCTTTTACAGATCTCTCTGTTCATATGAATGAACTGAAGTTAAAATTACAAGGTTTTGGCAAAAGTATTGATGTTATGTTTGGATACATCAAATCTTTTGAAAGTAAACTTAAAATTTTTAAGCGCGATATTGCTTATAAGTATTTTCCTCGAATAAAAAAGTATTTTGAAAAGGCCAGTAAAATGAGTGTAATGGAGTCCATACTTATGTACCAGAATATAGTATACTTGTTAATTGAAGAGTTCAGAGAAAGATTCAACCAATTTAGGAGCCTAGCCATTAATATAATTAAGTATCCAGATGTAATTGTTTACAGTTCTTTAGAATTAAAAGGTTTCCAATGAATGCAAATTGATAATTTAGAGATGCAACTTGCAGATTTTCAAGATAGATTTGGACTCGTGTTTCTCGACATAATATCAAAACTTGAAAATCTGGAACGAAATCGTTTGAATAATGAAGAGTGCAACTATGAACAAGAAATTTTGAGTGCATGGAACAGAACACCTGACACTTTTAGCAATATAATAAATCTAGCAATGGCTTTGCTAACCATTTTTTCAACAACATATTTTTGTGAAAGTTTGTTCCTCAACATTAAATAATATTAAAACAACAAAAGAAACTGGCTAACAGATGAAGTTAGTGGTGCTTGCTTAGCCTTGACATGCACCAAGTATAAACCTGCAATTGAAGAATTAGCAGACAAACTTCAGTACCAAAAAGTCACTAATTTCTATTTTTTCTACAATTTCTATTTTTTGTACCATTTATTTATCATTATTTTTTCCTAAGTGTGTGTATTGTTTTTTGTTTTTATTTTATACATATTATTTACTTGATTTTTCTTTGTTAAATTGCATTTAAATATATAAAATAAATATATAAACCATAAATCTTTTTTTTACTATGGTTGCAAATATCAAAAAATTATGAATATATTTATGTGACATGGCACCAGAGTTAAATTAGAATTTTTCAAAATTTTGACATGCCAAGCTCAAAACGTTCACCATCACTTGCATAGACCATCTTGCCGTCATTAAATAAATTATTTTGTTAAAAAGTTCTTACCAGGATATAACGTAAGATTCTTCAGTCTTTTGTACCAAAAATTTAAAAATCACATTATGGAAATTTAAATCTTGTGGGCTATCAAACTCAAATGTGAAGTATTATTCTGTCAATTGTGTCAAATTGTAATATAACCCAAGTAGATTAAATATGGCTAAAACATTTAAATAGTAAACTAAATGAGTGAGATGCAATTTTATTGTTATTTAAATGATGTTATGAAATTATGAAAATCAGACTAATTGAGAAGTGTCAATAGCAGTCATGGTTCAGAGCACCCAAAAACACAAAATAGACCTAACTGGTGCAAAAAAAAGAAAAATAAATAAGGTAAGTAGTTAAATAAAATATAAATTGAAATTTCTCTTTTGCTACCTTGCATGCATTTTCTTATTTGTGAATGTGAACATTAAATTTTCCAAATTTTCCAATTTTTCTATTTTATTAAAAGTAGACAAATGAACACACCTCACAATAGTCTATGATTTTCTGATCTATAAAATATTAGTTTATTTGATTAGCTAAATTCTAATATGTATAATTGTCCACACAGTTTTTATTATTTTCATTGGGATATAGTGAATGTTAAATATCTTCTTGTATTTGAAAGCAATATGGACCATATTCCTTCAACATTTTCATATTAGCATTGAACGACATAAAAACTATAAAGAAGAAGCAGTTTTGTCTTCAGCAAGTATGTGTTTTGCATTATTCACAATATTCTTCGCATAAAAATTAATATGTTAAGTTAATATAGTTGATCCAATTGAATAATTAGTTATTTTTTTATCATTAGCGCACAAAATATTTATTGTACATCTTAAAAAACAAATAATTTAGAATGTTTTTATTAACACTTTCAAAACTACACATTAACGGTGCACGAAGAGAACAGAAATCGATGTTCTATAAACATTCACTAGCAATGTCTACAGAATATTCTTCATTTATATTTAGTTTAAATTAAAAACCATTTCTTTATTTACAGAGACGAGAAATAAAGAGAGAACAAAAAGCATGGGCATCCTCATCCAGCCATCCCCATGTTGTGACTTTATTAGCTTACTTTAAAACCAATACGAGGTAACTTTCAACCCTTTACATTTGAATTATTGCTAATATTTTATGGTTGTATGGAGTAATAATTCTGTTTTTAGTTTCTGTTTCGTCTCCGACTATGTGGACGGACAAGATATAACGAATTATTTACAATGTAATGGACCCTTCCGAGAAACTCAAGCTAAAATAATTGCTTCTCAAGTGGCTTCAGCCATCATGTTTATTCACAATAAAGGTGATTATCTAAGTCCATTTAGTCGTCTTTTCATCAATAAATGTGATTGTATGACAAAATTTGTTTTTATCTTCGACAGGAATAATTCATAGAGACATAAACTCTAATAGCATCATGCTCGATAACACCAAAGGAGCACAGTTAATCAATTTCGGTCTGTGCACAGTAAGTAGTGAATACTGCAACATTCAAATTTTCGTTGAACTATAGAATTCTCATTGACTGATTATCTTTCTGTCAGTTTGAACGTAACCCGAATGAATTTTGCGGGGCTTTGTTCTATCTTTGTCCGGAAATCCTTGAGGGAAAGCCTTATGGTAAATTGTTCTATTCAAATTTAATCGCGTCATTTTAAGTCTTGTAGTTATTAATAATATGCATTGATTTTAGACGCTTATTGCGATTGGTGGATTTATAAATATAGTAGTCCAATAGTGCTTAATTCAAAATTATTAATTACAGAAACAATAGGAAATGTTTTATATTCCCCAATTTTATTACTAAATTAAATCTGTTTAATTATTTTTGATCATGAACTTGATGTAATTTTAAGTGTGACATTTCAGTTCTTGTCTTGTTCTATCCTATAATCTACTCCTCCTCCTTTCTTCTAGTATAAGTAGTTTTTCGCGTGCCCTTTTTTTTGTTGCACCGTGTATCTTATGTCAGTCATTTTGTCGCAAGAATGTTGACTGACGATTCTGCCCGAGTGTTTAAACTTTAAAGCTTTTGTCCAAGGAGAGTCAGAATGTAAACGAGAATCCTGTATATTTCAAACATGGGTGAAAAAAATAAAGAAGCTTTGTTTTATACTCCTATCCCTTTGTTGGACTCTTTCACCACACGAATCCTCACTCCATTGATACTGTATCAGCAGAATCCTCGTTGTGAACATAACAGTATAGCTTGTCTATACTCATTTATTGATAACAAAAAGTTATATTATAATGGCAACAAGTAATCCATTAAGAAGTACTGTTCATAGTGACAGGACCAACAGTAATCCCCTGTTAATAGTCACTGGGTTCCTAGAAATGATACCCATATTCTCGAATTTGCAGAGTGATTCAGTAAATGTGAAACAGTTCTTTCAAACTATGGAAAATATCACACACTTAGAAAAATGAAGCAACGTCGTAAAAATTGCAGTCCTCCAAGCTAGATTAAAAGAGGAGCTGCTTAATATTTATTTTTGTCTTTTGGAACAGTATCCTTCCTCCTATGAGGATATAAAACGTGACCAGATGAAGTGCTTTAACAAAAGAAAATCCAGGAAAAAAAATATTATCAATCAGGTCTTAAACTTAAGACAAGGGGCTAATGAATCCGTGATGAATTTTTCAATTCATATGAGAACTTTGTTGTCCAGAGCAGTCAAGGACCATAGCAAAATCAAAGCGCTGCATGACGATGTAATCACAAAAAGGTTTATAAAAGGTTTAAATGCTAAGATAAGAACTAATGTAGTGAAACGATTTCCAAAAATTTGGAGAAGGCATTCGAGTTCGCGGAAATAGAGGAAGAATTGAGAGAAAGTGTAGCGATCAAGTCGAGCAAAGTTATATAAAAGTGTATATATATAAATAAGTAAAATAATCAATAAATAAATAACTATATCATCAAATTTGTTTATAAATATTAGTGACTTTCAGAAAGTCCAGTAAATTATTGACATTTTGCCTTTGGCCAAGAATCCCTGTCAGACAAGCATCTCCGAGATACTGTCTACGCCTTGTCTCGAAGGCAAAGCAATTGCACAGTATGTGTTTTATACTTAAAATGCAGTTGCAATACTCACATACTGGCTGGACTTCACCCTTCAAAAGGTATTGGTGAGTCAACCGAGTATGCCCAATTCTCAAACAACTAAGAATAACTTCAAATCTCCTGTCATATTGTTTATTACATGTCCAATTTTCTATCATCGGTTTGATCTCAAGTAGTTTATTGTGGATTTGTGCATTCCACATATTTTGCCATCTCTCCACTAGTCGTTTTTTAAGAACTAGCTTCAAATCACCTTCAATAAACATTGTATGCTGAGAAGGACTAGCTGACTTTGCAGCTGCATCAGCTTCATTTCATTTTATACCTACATGGCCTGGGACCCAACAAAATTTTATAGAGAAATTCCTCACAAGATAGCAAATCAGACTATAAATCTTAATCAGTATAGAGTGAGAACTAAGTTCACACAAAATCAAAGCCTGAAGTGCACTAACCAAGTCATTGTACATCACACAGCAACGATAACCTTTCATATTTATATACTTTAAGGCTAAATAAATAGTCTGCAACTCCGCAGTGAAAATGGAAAAATTTGGTGCTCTGTTCTGCCACAATTTCATTTTGGCAAACAAAGGCTAAGCCAACATAGTTATCTGAGTTTGATCCATCAGTATAAATAAAAATTATATTCTTGTCACAATGTCGAATTTCTGCAAAGTGCTGTCTACAGACGCAGTCTAGCATGGTTTCTTTGGGGAACTGCTTTAACCAGAGGTCAACATTTATCACAGGACTTGACTAAGGTGGTATACTACACACCTCTAGCTGTGAAATGTTGCCTGTGTTCAGGTCAATCATGCTGCTCACATTCTCCATTCTTATGGCGAATGAAGGGACACTGCTTGGGCGAGCTTCAAATAATCTTTTCAGCTGAGTATCTAATACTGTACAATCAACTAAAGGTTTAGAGTAAGATTTCTGTTTTATATAGTAAAATAGAGACAACTGTTCTCTCCTGAGAGATAGTGGAGGCTCATAAGCATCCACGTACAAATTTTGGACCGGAGAAGTTCGAAATGCACCAGTGCACAAACGTAGTGCTTGATCCGAATAGTAGGTTCTCGTGCTGAGCCATAAACAATGCATCCATAATCCAGCTTTGAGCATACAAGGGCCCTGTAAATCCTGAGCATAAAAGTTTTGTCTGCTCCCCAGGATGAGCAGCATAATACCTTTAGAAGGTTCAGAGATTTTAGACATCTACTCTTCAAATTGAGCAAATGCAGTAAAAACGTCACTATAAGGTCAAATATAACTCCCAAAAATTTCGTCTCGTTGACCATTGGGATTTTAACCCCATTAAGTGGATTTCAGGGTCCAAGTGCAAACCACACCTTCGGCAGAAGTGGGTGCACAAGGTCTTCTCTATGTTGAAACTAAGACCATTAATCTTTGACTAATAGTCTATGCAATTTAGGGAGGTTTACAGTTGTCTCTCCATAAAGCTCATGTTGCTAGACTGGCAGATCTGAAAGTCATCCACATACAGAGAGTGTTTCACACTAGGAGAAAGACAGTTAGCTATGCTGTTTATTTTAATTAGGAACAGAGTCACACTAAAAATAGAGCCTTGAGCAACACCTTCTTCTTGTGTGAAAGGCCTAGGTAAAGTGTTGCCCATCTTCGATTCTGTAGGAAGTTTTTTATAAAAATTGGCAAATTACCCCGCAACCCAAATTCATACACATCAGAAAGTATCCCATATCACCAACAGTAATCATAGGCCTTCTCTATGTCAAGAAACACAGAAATTAAGTGCTGTTGTCTAACAAACGCTTCGAGTATAAATGTTTCAAAATTAACCAAATTGTCCATTATACTTCTGTTCCTACGAAATCCACTCTGATGTGGTGAGTAGTAGTTCTTTTCCTCTAGGAGGAACATCAGGTGTCTGTTTACCATTCTCTTGAAGAGTTTACACAAAGAACTTGTCAGAGAGATTGGTCTGTAATTAGAGGGATTCTTGCAGTCTTTACCAGGTTTTGGAATGCGGATGGTAATTGATAGCCTCTAAGAGTCAGGAAAAGTATGTTCTGTCCATATTCTGTTAACAGATTCAAAAGATTACTAAGGGAATTGCCAGACAGATTTTTTATCATGCTGTAGTGAATTTTATCCGGACCTACAGCACTATTTCCCAAACAAGAGACTGCTGGATGTAATTCAATTCTAGTGAATGGCACATTATATTCCTCATTAGATGAGGAATAAAAATTTAAATTTTGTTTTTCTCTTTGGGCTTTAAAAGCTTGAAAATTCCTAGTATACATTATATTGCTGGATGAAGAGGAAAACGTTTCACCCAACTTATCAGCAATACCCTGTATATGACTGATTATTGTGCCACTATTTTCCAGCATGGAGATAGAATGAGAAGCATACTTTCTATTGATTTTATGGATTTTATCCCAGACTGCTTTAGATCTGGTGGAAGATGTTATGCTAGAAACATACTTCCTCCAAGAATCCCTTTAACTTTGCCTCCTTATTCTTCTGGCATTTGCCTTTGCTTTTTGAAAAGCAACCAAATTTTCAGCAGTGCGGTATCTTCTGAAAATCCCCCATGCTTTCTTTTGTTTTTTAAATGCTATCTCGCAATTCTGATCCCACCATGGTTTCGGATGCTTTGGGTATTTGGTTGATGTTTTCCCCATTGTTTATTCAGCTGCTTGTATGATACTAGAAGTGACAACCTCAACTGCATCATTGATATCAGCAATATTCACCATATCCTCAGTGATATTGGCCATAGAGGAAAAAACAGGCCAATCGGCTGTTTCCAATTTCCAGCGTGGTGTATGGGATGTTTCACAGCTTTCTCTGCCTTGATATTTTAGAAATATTGGGAAGTGATCACTAGAGATGGATTAGATCCTACCTCCCATGAAAATGCTGATAACAGGTTTGGACTCGCCAATGATAGATCAATGGCACTGAATGTTCTTGTTGCGGCATGAAAATACATCACTTCTTCAGTATTAAATAAATACAGTTGGTGATTACCTATAAATCTTTCAATGGCTCTGCCTCGATGATTAATGTCGGGACTGCCCCACATTGGATTGTGGCCATTGAAATCACCAAATAAAAGAAGTGGTGTTGGCAACTGTTCAAATAATGCATCCAATTCATTTTCATTCACTCTGACATCTGATATCAAGTATATAGAACAAACTGTGACAGTTATGCCAATTGAAATTCTGACTGCCACAGCTTGAAGCTCTGTTGTTATTTGTACTGGCAAGGATGGGATGCAATTGGAAACAGAATAGCCACACCACCACTGGCATGATTGTGGCTATCATCATCCTTTTGGTAGAGATTGAATCCTTTTAAAAAGATATTTTCTCCAGATTTTAGATGTGTTTCCTGGTGTGCCACACAGAGAGATGGGGTAGATGATGTCAAGTGTTTAATGTCAAAAAAGTTGTTGCGAAAACCATGACAGTTCCATTGGATTATTTTATAATCCATTGTGTTTGAGGCAGCATTCTTTGAAAAAGTGTCCCTCTTCAATTTAACTGAAGAT